AAAAATAAAGAAAAAAAAACTACCCAACTATATCAAAGCAAAAGTATTAGGGCCATAAATAAATGATGATAAATGATCATGTGATTCTTCTAAGTTATGAAGTTTGAATGAAAATGCTTCCACTATGAGCACACGATAAAAGAAGGGAACTTTTCATCCATACCATGTGCAGAACTCTTCTCGTGGGAATCGAAGTCCCGAAGATATTGTGAGAGGGAGTCTTCATCTCCAATGAATTCTGAAGATGGAGTAGTTGGCAGGTGAGAGGTGTATGATCTATTAGGTGATGTCTTAACTTGGCGATTACGAAGGCCATCCCGTGAAGTGTCAGGAGAGAGTGACATACTTGCAGGAGATCCTGCTTGGTACATCCAAGATGATGACGATACTGAGTAATTTTGGCTACTCATTGTAGCTGTGGAAAATTATAAGGTTAATAACGTAAAAGATTCATGGTAAATTACAAAAAAATTTAACTCATACAATCATTGAGAGGAGATCCAGCTGATGGAGAAAGAACAGAATTTGACATCCAGCTGAGAGCAGTCATATTCATTGGAGTGATTGCCTCCTGAACAGCAGATGTGCCCTTTACAGGTGTTGGTGATAGAGCAGCTTTGAACTTGATGTAGGGATCTTCAAAATTAGAAAAAAAAAACATAATACAGGTAAATTAATATTTCTATATATCTTTTCATAAACTGGCATGTCATATAAAAATTACCATTTTGCTTAATGCCCAGAAGTTTCTGTTGACGTGGAGTAACAGTAAGGGGTTCAATGCTGAATACCGTCCAAATGTAGCAACCAAAGTGGTACAACGCATTCAGAAACAGAATGCTAGCAATGATGTACTCGCCCACTTGCGTATAATAGCTATAGCGCGGACATGTGTAAACACTACACAAAGGCAACAAGAAATATGGTTCAGTTGAACATAGGGGGAACAATTGCGAGGCAAATTACAATAATGCTGACTTACATATCAAGAAGTAGAATGCTGAAGATAACAGAGTTGAAACATCCCCACAGTAAACTTGATCTGGCTTTCTTGACATCACCGGTTAGTTGTATGGTCCGTTCCAATACTGGAGTAGTAGGTTCCAGCGCCATCACTGCCAAGCTGTTAAACAAACACAAACATAAGTAAACCCTATGGGCGCTTTAACATTCGACACATAATTAAAATTTACACAGAGCAGATAGTTTTCATAACCTCTACATAGCCTGCCCCGAGAAAAACTCATGAGAAAAAATATATGGTTATGTAAAGCACATAAACAATATTTGCTTACCTGATGAGAAAGGAGATGATTCAAAAAAAATTGCAAGCAGTTCAGTGCCGCTCACAACGGAATTTTGGCCAGTTCACCTACCTACCGGTTTCTTTCCCGCCTCCCACACACGTTGTTTTCTTCCTTCCGCACTGCAGTCACCGCTTCGCTTCTTCTAAACTTCGCGCTCTTTCGTTATGAGCCAAGGGTTTTTGTTTATAGCAGCCCCAGACCCAGGAAACGACGGCGCGCATATTTAACCTTTGAATTTGCAGCTATAGGATTTATTATTTGAGACGAGGAAGGAAGCTGTTTAGAGTTAGGGAAGTGAATTTAATACTTTGACCATAGCTTTTATTAGGTTCATTTTTAAAATTTGTATACACATACACAGATATTGTAACATTTTAATAACAGTCATCTTTCATAATTCAAACTACCACAAGAATGATAGTTACATATTTTTCCTCAAAATTATTTTTTACTCAGGAATTATGCAGAAATTTGCATTATATCAGTACGAAGCAAAGGATTAGCCTCTAGAAAGTTATAGAGGGATTTTAGATAGGAAGCAACATTGATCATTATGAGAAGGGACCACCTGCGTGGTTCTCTTCTCATAAGATATTATTCACTAAGTTCATTCCAAGCAAAAGCAATATCTTTATATTAAAATTTAGTAGAACAAGTTTGATTTTGTTTCCTATTTAATTCAAACCATGCTAAAACCTAATTAGTAGTTGATTTAATTAATAGCATACTCCTATTAATTTATATATTGGCACATCCCAGGTTTGGCATATTGAGATTTTACATAATAATTTGCAAGGAATACCTGGGATTTTACAAATAATTGCCATGTGATGAATAGACAGTGAATCCTAATGGAGGGCCACTTTTTAAAACAGTATTCTTTTATGATGAATCTGACATACCCTGTCATTTTTAATTCTCTTATCACTTTTCCTACAGAGCGTTCTTGTGTTTTCTTGGTAAAATGGAAAGTCTGATTGCAAGACAATTAATTTTCTGAGCCCATTACATTGCTCATCTTAAGTCTAAAAGCAGAAGTACTATTAAATACGAGGCATGGTAGATTTTTAAAAAAGCTGAGTACTTAGTATAATGAATCAGTTTAGTCGCCATAAAGCTGATGCATAGTCTAAATACCTTAATAGTTACTCCTGTAAAAAACACTATTATTTGAGCACAGGAATAATTTCTCGTTGAAGGAAAACAATATTTTAAGAAGCATTACGGACAAGTTCTCTCAATTCGAACGTTTGAAGTAGACATAGGTCGCACATGAATTTGTGACTATCACAATGAGGATACAATTAACTTAAAATAAATAAAGTATTTGGAATGCCTCATAACATTAAGGAACATGACTAACATGGAAGCAACAAAAGGAGGTAACTAATGACAAGCATTCTGAATTATATTCAATGGAATAGATTCGTGGCCATAAGTATAAAATGGAACATAAATGTTACAATCCAATCACAAAAAGTAAAAGCAACATAAATAGATAGATAAATACAAACATAAGACTATGCTGGTTTGGAAAGAATTGTACAATCAGAATTTTACGTGTATATGGAGTTAGACGTCACAACGAAACATTTTACGCAAGATTCTAAAAAATTCAAGAATTAATACACAGATAGAAAGGTCTTTTTAGAACAGAAAGACTGTTTGATTCAACAATCTAAATCATTCTATGACCATTTCAGAGCATTGGCAAAATAACATTTGAATAGCAAACCTATAATGGTAGCCACCAAAATATGGAAGAAAGTGAAGGAAGATTACAATTACACACATATCATAAAGCCTCCATGTCAAAATACTGATTCTTCTCACATTCAAACTACTCGTAAATTTGTTTGTGTTCTAGTAGACTGAATGAATACATGTGGAACAGGAAACAGTTATACGTAATGATTAAGGACATGTATAAAATGAAAAAGAATTAAGCTGACACAAAGTTTAAATTTGATCCAGAGGCAACAATAGAAAATAATAACAGGCATAAAAGGACCCTTATTCTAAAGTTCACGAAAGCTTTCCAATATATTCAGTTTTGTTTGCAAGGCCTAGACGTAATTAACTTTCGAGGTGAGACAATGAATACTCAGTCAGATGAAGATACGAAAATGCCGAGATCCATAACATGAAAAAATCAATAAGACCAGGAGATAGCTTAGAACGTAACATACTGTTTTGAAAAATGAAAAGACATTTCATAGACACAAAAATAATAATAAAAACAAAATCACAACAACAACAAAAGAAACAGATTCCTTTACTTAAATTTGCATTGTTCAATGCTCTTAATTATGCCCTTTCCCTATTACCAAACAGCAGACACAAACACTTAACCAAATTACAAATTTAATAACAATTGGCCCACTGAAAACTATGTGACTGATAAGAACAGATATATTTTTTTCTAAAGTCAACTTCATTTAGATTGAACCCACACAAATTCCACTGAAAGCTACACACTTTTATCTAAGCTACTCCCTTGCCCAGCCACAACCCACAAAAATGGTAACATACACAGGATGTTGAACGAGATGAACACAAGATTTTGTTCACTATTAAGTGAAATAAATAATATTCTTCACTCAGTCAAGCCAATATAATAATCTTAACAAGATACAAAGCAAATATCAATAAATAGCATCCAGGTACCTTGCACTTTCATATTAAAACAAATATTCTACTTCATAAACAACTTTTGTTAAAAAATAGTTGACTCAATAAAATTAGATTTTTATAGAGGCCCAATTGAAGACAAAGCTAGTCATCCAAAACTTTGAATGAACGCATGGCAAACAAGTTGAGGATTCACACTTCTATAAAAGTTAGTTAATGATGAGGTCTTATATTTCCGCCTTACACTGTATCCAGAATGGCAAGTGACACTAACGCATTTCACAATTCAAATTTGTCCCCAACAAACAGAAGGTGACAAGTTGACTGTAAAATTCAGTAAGTGCACAGAAAATTACAAAGCCAAAGCAAGCATCAATTAATTTTCTTCAGAATTTAACAATAACAATAATAAATAAAATCTACAAAGCCTTAATAGCAAGGGTAACAGAACTCCAACTGTTGACTGTGATCCTCATACTAGAATCTTTCCAGCAGAAACAAAAAAATTCACCTTTTTTTTGAGTCTGCACCTTACAAATGCAATAGGTCAAAATGATCAGCATAAAGGGACTGTACAACCAAACCGTTGATTATCAATTGGTCTGCAAAAGCATGTGCAAATACTTGGTCATCATTTTAACAAAAACATTGAAAACTGCTTTTAAAAATTGGTCATACAGTCAGCATTTAAAAACTTATAGTAAAAATATCTCTTTTTCTTCACAGTAAAAATAGTAAAAATATATAATGTGTATCAAAGTTTTAACACGGATGTACGGTATTAATATGGAAAAATACAAGTATCAAAAGTATCAATTGACAAGCTCTATAGCAGCATGCTTCAGGACAAGGATCAGAAAATACATACTTTCTTTGCTTTTAAAAAACTTTACAAAAGTCAAGTAAAATTTGATTATTAATATTACATTTGGCTACTTCAAAAAGAAACAGGTTTTGTTTTAAATAAATGCAAACATTTCTAAAGAAACAAGCATTTTAAAAACACTACAGTAGAACAATCACAGTTGGCAATTAGCTGTTTCTGATCAAACATTCACATTGTCTTTCCAAAAAAAGAAAAAGAAAAAAAAATAGAATACACATACATGATAATATGTAGTGAGGCAATGTGCCTCATCAAACAGTTAAGCAGAGTGCCTATTGTCAACTTTCAGAGCTGTCATCAGTTTTGTCTCTTTTACCCTTAAGAAGATATACATTCATGTTATCTTTCCCCTTCACGTAAACAACTCCCCTTGGCTCAAATTCATACTGCTTATTTAAGATCTGCAAGCAGTCTTCTCCGACTTGAATGCGTCCAGGTACCCCAGTAGAATCCATTCTACTTGCAATGTTTACTGCATCGCCCCAAATATCATAATACAGTTTCCTTGTTCCGATCACCTGTAGGCCAAAAACAAGAGAGAAAATTGGTTCAACTTTAATTGATTGATTGATACCTGACTATACTTAGCTAAACACACTAACTACTTACCCCAGCTGTTATATCACCATGGTTGTATCCAACCCGCAGAATAAGGTTAAATTCAAGGAGATCTCGATTAAAAGCATCAATGACACCTTGAAGAGCAACTGCAAAATCAATAAGCTGAAAAAGATGTTCATGCTCAAATTTGTTCTGACTGCGGAAATGAGGATTTAGTCCTGATGCTGCCATGTATGTGCTTCCAATGGTCTTAATTTTGGTCACATTGCAAAATTCGGGCCTAGGCAAGACAAATGAGTTTTTAAACAAAACATTTTATAACTAGATTTCATTTGTAAAAAAGTTGAAAAGAATACCTGCTTAACAATTCGTCAAAATCGGCAATTAGTTCATTCAAAACACGCAAGTATTCCCTTCCGCCTAAGTAGGTCTCGTCATACATTTCATTGAAGTTAACAATCGAGGCAAAAATGATGCCTACAAGATGATGGTTTTCAGAATATTTTGCTGTGTTCTTCAGTTGATCAGCAACATGACGAGGTATGATGTTGTGAAGTAACCAATCAGCTTGATCCTTAGGGGGTAGAAAAGTTAAAACATGTAACATACATGTAAAACATGTAATACAAATTTTCACCTTTTACTTGTTAAAGTGAGTGGATGGGATGCATAAGTACTTACTTTCATACTTTGTACTTTAGCTTTATCTCTTACAGCTACGGCATTACCATGAAAACTAAGACGGTATGAGATCTCAAACTCCCTGTTGAGGAACCACACAAGCAAAAGTAGTAGAATAACATCGAGGTATATTTCAGCTTGATGAAAATTTGCTTTCGGAAGTTTATTTGGAGAGCATTCAATGACAATGGCTCTTGTTTCCCGTTTAAAACTATCTTGATTATTTTCAAAGGCCTTTCCAGTTCTCTGATCTCCAATATCAACATCACGAGTTGATCTTTCATTAAGTGAGAGCTTTGCTTTGGCAGTAATGAAGGGGATATGAACACTGCCAAATAGTTCATTAGTATCCAGATTAGCACCCGCAGAGAATGAAATGGCACGTAAATGTTGAGGCTCTAAAGGGTCATTGACAGCCACACTGCTGCAAACCTGCAAATTAGGATAATATATACATATTCTAACCGAGAAAGCCCCATAAAAAGAAAAGTTTTGTGACGTAAGTCATTTGATGAAATATACCTGACTAGCAAGAAGCGAGATGAAAATCACACCAGTGAGGGTAGCCAAAAAACTCTTCATCCAGCAATTTAGTTGAGTGAAATTGCAAAAATGAACTATACTCAAAAATAGCACATAACTAAAGTAATAATCGTGACTAAGTTCCAGAATGGCTGAGGCTCGTATAGTGTCTGTACTTCCAAGAGTCCCATTTGCCAGGGCAAGTGAAGGACATGAAAAATTGGCAAGCACTGATGTTGCTGGCAAGCTTACCTATAAATTTAAGAGACCAAGTAATACTACAGTGATGATTTTGTACATTTATTTCACTGTAAACAATAGTCTAATCCAATAAATGGAAAAAATTTAACTTACCAGGATTGCGCCACACACATGCCACGGGTACCATCCAGAGAATTTCTCAACTAGTGTCTTACAAAGGCTAAGCAGATGTGCACCAGTTGAATTATTTTCAGCATAGAGGGTTTTAGGCCCATCGTCTGAACCAAGAGGCGTCCACAACAAAAGTCCACACAAGAAGACAGCAAATATCTGAATTAGAGTTGCTGTGACAAAAACAGCAATCCACATGGGGGAGGCAGCGTAGAGAAAAAATAGGGACATAGCAATTGCTGAATACACCTGGAAAAGGAAAGTTTCAGTGCTGACGAAGTATCTCATTTACATAAAATTGAAAAAAGGTTAAGAACATTTACCAGTGCTGAGATGAATATATCAAAGTAGGTGTTAAATCTTGATGTTGCGAGGGTTGGTGGAGAGTCACCATGCCTTTCAGATATTCGATGAGCAGTGTCTCGATATTCACGTTCCATTTCCCTTTGACGGAAAAAGAGTGTAATACTTAAAAGAGGGGGCTTTACAAAATAGCTACGGTTGGATTTCACATTATCTTGGACACAGCGAATAAGTTGGAGATCTGATTGCTTGCGAAGCTGATGAAAGCAATCACCCATATGATCTCCAGAAGGCAAATTTGGAACATTGCCATTTGATGAATCTGTAAAATAACAACCTAGTGATTTTTTTGTGCGACAGATTAATTATTAAAAATAATCTTAAGAGATGTGTTTCTACTTCACTTACCATGGTCAAGGGAGGACTGACTTGAAGTATAGTAACCACTTACTCTGTGGGTGAGAAGATCTCCTTGCGTAATACCATTCATGACAAATAACTAGGGAGAAAAGAGACGAAAGTAGTAGAAATTTTGTTGAGATTGAACCTTTAAAGGAAAATCAGTTTCAGAATTTTAGTTCGAACCTGTTGCTGGATGCTACTGCGGCGACTATTACTCCTAATTCCAGAATCTTTTCGAGAGTTGACAGAGTAGCATCTGGTCAATTGATCTTCATTTGGGACATCTAATCGAACTCCATCAATAAGAGATGATGCTTCGCCACCTTTCTCATGAGTCACATCCTGGTTATCATCAAGTCAAGATCAGAAGTGAGAAAAACAGAAATCTTTGTAATGAATGGGTAGAGGGTGTGAAAATAAAACAATTACCTTCTTCGAAATATGATGATCCAGATTAAGTTTTGGTGGTGTGCGAAGAGGAGACTTCTTAATAAATTTCTTTGTTCTCTGTGATGACAACTTTTTTGGATCCAGACACTCTGCATCGCCCTCAACATCTTTAAAGGGATGGTAGTAGAATAAGTTTCAAATAAAACAAATTGGAAAACAAAGCTTATTTTCAAAAAGCAAGACAAAAAAAAACACAAATAAAACAAACCAGAATCAAGGATGCTTGGTAAGGAACTAGCTTTTGTTTCCAATGGAGCGAGGGCAAGATAGTGAGATGGTCTAGTAGGTCTAGTCACATGGCAAGAATACACACGGTCTCTTCTCTGATAGTAATGGTGAACAGACTCCACTGTATGCAATGGAGGGGATGCCAGTTGTTTTGGAGGAGATTGTGTTGGTGGTGGTGACTGGACAGGAGACAGTGGCTGAGAGGGTTGCATGGGAGGAGATGGCAGGGAAACCATTTTTGTTGGAGTTGTATGATTAGAAGATGGCCTTGACTTTGCATTCTCCTTTGAATTTTGTATGAGTCTGTCTCCTTGACGACCCAAAATAAAGAATGTCTTCATGTCTTCAAATGAAAATATTTCAAGATGGTGAGTTACACGTCAATAGGAATATTGATAGGAAGATTGATTGCTAAGAAAATACCTTACCGTGTGCATCTTCTCCTTCTTCTAAAATGTACATGTCACCAAGAAAATTACGAGTTTTTTCAGAAATATGCACTCTTCCTGGTTTACCCGTGGATTCCATTCTATTTGCAAGTGTGACATCATTTGACCAGACATCAAACTTAAAGCGCTTGGTTCCCACAATGCCACAGAGAACTGTACCAGTGTGTATTCCAACCCTCATATTAACACCCTCATGTGTCTCTGCATCAAACTGTCGAATAGCCTCTATCATGCCTATAATACAAAGCAAAAATCATGAAAACTCAAATATAAGTAGCTCTCTGTAGTAATAAAGCAAGTCTACATACCTAATCCCATTTCAACACAACATTTGGCATGATCAGGTCTGGGCTCTGGGCACCCTGACACACAATAATAGCAGTCTCCTAATGTAGAAATTTTTTCACATCCATGAATTTCACATAGCTCATCAAATCTGCAAAATAATAACAGCATTAAAGCCACTGCAATAAAAAACCCAAATAAAATTGTAAAATACCTCCACACTCTAGAGGAAAGAGGGTCCAATAGGTAGGTTACCTTTCAAATAGATCATTTAATATTTGAACAAGCTCCTCAGCACTTTTATTTGAGCTCATCCGTGTGAAACCGACAATGTCAGCAAAGAGTATGGAAACATTATTTATGGCATCCATATTGAATGGTCGAAAAAGTGATCGAATATCTCCACTTGAGCCACGTCTATGTCCATCACCACTTGCTGCTTCATCGTCTCCAAGACAACTTTCTTGCAATAGCCAAGCAGCTACTTTAGGTGGCATTACCTTTGAACAAGAATAGCAAAGTAAAAATGCTTGAACAGTCAGTATATATACACCTCCATTTTCAGTTGGGTCAAAATGGGAAACTTAGTTTATACTGCCAGACATGAAACTCTGCTTTACAGCCTAATCTGTGTGGATTTCAATACCGAATCCAATGTGCCAAAAATCAGACAAACACTCTGAAAATTTACATGCAATGTCTCAATGCTTGCCTAGGAATCTAACATAAATAAATTGTGAAAATTGATGGCAGAGTTAACTAATTTTTATCCATTTGACCCATTAGATAAGACAACACAATAGATAAAAAAAAGAGTTCAATTCAAACAATGTCAAAATCAGGAAAAAGTGGTTGTAAACTCATAACAACCTATTACTTACAGACTGAATCATCTTTTCTTTCAACTGCTTTTCCATTTCAAGCTGTTTCCGAACCAAGAGTGATTGCCCAACTTTCATAAAAGTGCCACGCATTCGAACATGGGTCATTATAAGGATATGCAGACCAATAGCATGAACACATAGTTGGAGAACAATCCGGATTGGAAGACCAAATCTATCATACCGAGATAACTCTGCTGCTGCGGCCTCAGGCAAAGCAAATTCCTAATAGAAAAAATAAAGAAATATAATAGAAATAAAAACTTGATGCTGTTTGAGTTTTTACATTCTTCATTATGAATGATTTTTAGGAGAATACAGCAACAGCCGACTTTGGGACTGACAGGCACATAATAATCACAGCCGAAGTCAAACAAATACGGAATAACAAGCAAATGCTGCCTGCCTAATTACCAAAACACCACACATGCACTGCAAACTAAAATAATGCTTACCGAGCATGGTCCCATATCTACATAGGCCGTCAGACATTCAAAAATTATTGAATATGTTCCTCCTATTGCAACACACACATAGAGTGGGAGAGGAATCACAGTGTAAATCAGCAATAAAACTTCAATACACAGAGCAAATTGTCCGACTGGAGTCATATCCAAGGCAGTGGTACTCCACACAAAAAATAATGAGAAGGAACAAATAATAAGAGATATAAAAACTGAAACTGAAAGATGAATTTTTTTGTAATACTCTGTGTAAGTCAAACAGAGAATGACTGCTGTTATGGCAGCAAGGGCTGCAAATGTTCCACATATAATCGGCCATTCTGATGAGGTAATTTTTTGAAGCCCAGTCACAAGGAAATACAAAAGCCATGAGAGAGAAACCAGAAGAATGTAGAGAAGTGCGTATCTAAAAAAACACAACAGAAAAAAAATCATTAGGTAAATAAAATTAAGCAAGCTAAAAAGTGAATGATGACAAAAAACACCTGTTGCACAATTTATGAATCAAGTCAAGA